AAAAATCTCAATTTTCTTATTGTCTCTGCCCATTCGCAACCCAGTCCGACACATAAGAGAAGTGAAGGAATTCATCTTGATTTTCCATAGTTAATTTGCTATGAACGGGAGTAAGAACTGGATCTTCTCTCGTGAATTCTTCATCAAAATTGGAAGTATCTGTGGGAGATGACTAATAATATACACGTGTGTAATGAATCTATTAGCAAACCAGAGGTTACATTATTAATTTAATGAGTGAATTGTTACTTACAATTGTGGGATAAAAAGGTGGAGGCACTTTCTTAGCAAGCATGTCATCCCAATTTACACCTTTAAAGAAGGGATGACGCTTGATTTCTTCAGCATCACTTTTCCCCGAGCCAAGTCGTCGTTCTGGATCACGTGTAAGTAACTAAGAAAGGGTTATAACTGATTTGTAAGGTAAACTCTTAAAAATGTAAATGAGATGATCTTTATTATCAATAATCATACTTTTTGCAATATTGATACTGAATCTCTAGACATATTTATTGGATAAAGAATTTCATCTTCTAAAATTGCATCGAATATTTCATCTTCATCGTCACCACGGAAAGGTGATTGTCCCAGAAGCATTTCATATATCAAAACACCAAAGGCCCACCAGTCGACAGCACGTCCGTATCGTTGCTCCAAAAGTATCTTAATAAGAAACACAATTAGTTATTAATAGTTAAGCATCCACCGAGTAATATATTTTATTCACCTCGGGTGCCATAAATTCTGGAGTTCCACAAAATGTGTTTGTCGTATCACCATATCCCATATTTTCTTTACAAAGACCATAATCAGCAATTTTAATATGCCCATCAAGTGTGAGCAATATATTATCAAGTTTAAGATCACGGTATATAATGCCCTGTTTGTGTAAATATTCTAAGGCAAGTAGAACTTCAGCGGCGTAGAACCTTATAATTGAAAAAACATGATTTGATTGTCAGCATATTAATTGAAAATGATAATTTTATTGTCGACATAAAAATATCATATGCTAGTATATACTTCCTTCTCATGCGTGCTTATACCAACATCTCATAAAACAAAATAAAGAGACACTTACTGTGCACGTCGATAAGTGAATTGTTCTCTTTGAATATGTAACATCAAATCACCACCGCTAACATACTCCATAACAAAGTAAATGCGGGTTTCAGTCTGGAAACAAGAGTGCAAGCCAAGTAGAAAAGGGTGACGTTCACGATTAGCCGCTTGAAAAACACGTTTTTCGGAACGCGTGCTTTTGATTTACCGGGTGAAATTTAAATCAAATACATTTACTATTAGAATAATGAAATATGTAATAGATATTCCACGGGCTGTTGTGAATATCATGGATTAGCACGGCGAAGCCGTGGTAATACATGATGTCATGGCACGCCGTTGAATATCTGATATATTTCACGGTTCCTATGCCCATAACATTTATGATTAAAATTTTTAATGATGACGTAATGACCGTGGAATAATTTTTGATATTTTAACGGCATTACGTCATCATAAAAATATCATCAGAAATGTTCACGGGCGAACATTAGTGGCCGTGGAATATAATAAGCTTAATTTATATTCGCACCTTTCAACTTCATCGTTTTCAATAATAAATTCTTTTTTCAACACTTTTATGGCATAAAGACTTTTGGTTAATTTTTCTTCGGCAAGCATAACCTATAAAATCATTTAATAAGCAAATCATTTAAAGGTGCCAGTCAAACACATCCATAAATATATCAATACTAAGATATTAATCAACCTTGCCAAAATTTCCTTTACCCAAAACGGCAAGGAAGTTAAAATCATCCAATCCAACTTTACGTGATGATGGCGTCGGAGCTACATCGGATTTATCTTTAGGGGGATGCATTGGAATGACTGGTGGTTGGTCGCCATGAGGTCTTTCTGGAATAGGTGATGTTATTACTGGCATTTGATTCCAGGAATTGTTTGGTGGTAAGTCATAGGAGGGTTGTTGTTTTGGGGGTAGTGTATTTGGTGATTTTGGCGGCTGATAATCATGTTTGGCAACCGTCAAAGATCCCCTCGTGTGTTCGCTAACTCTAATTTGCTCAATCATATCACTCGCACGTTTCATGCTCATCCCGCAGAAATCAGGAACCAGATGCGCACATTTTGCATGACAAGAAATGCCACAATCTACAATAAATAATATATATATATAACTAAGTACATTCAATACATTCAATACTGTTATATATATGACATGTCCTAAACATAACATACCAGTACATTTCCTTGCTCCTTTCTTGCCTATCGGTAGAATATAACCACAATGGCAACACCAATTTGCAATAATACTAGTTATAGCTTCGAAACGATGTGGAATACGATGATTAAGTTGCTTGTAGTCAGAATCCTAAAAAATAAATAGATAATTTAAGTCTTAACTTATATTTTAAATAATTCTTAGATAAGTTTAACAATGTCATGTTTCGATTACCATTTCCGCATGCGACATGGTAATGCATTTTGTCACTAGTTTAGTGTAGCATCTCTTGTGACAAGTCAATTTACAATCTAAAGAAGAAATGCAATTTAAGAGAGTGCTTATATTTAAAAGATATCATGTAAAAACACATACATACCATCACATTGATATCCTTCGTTCACAAATAATTCTTCACAATAAGCGCATTTCATGATCTGATAGAATATTTGTTGAAGGAATTTGTGTCCATTCTGCTCATGCACTTCGCCCTTGCGTTTACGGAAAGCCCCTTGACGACCAAGACCCGCATCAGGACGCTTGCCCGCATTCTCTTTTGCTAATTCCCCACATAATTCCGATATTAGACATAGAATTATCGAAAAATATGAAAGTAAAATCTAATACATATATTCAATAGTTCTATCATACCAAAATTTAATTTTAATAATATTTGACCAACTGGTTCAACGTCAAACCATGCCTCAATACCATCGGGTAGAACTGCTGTTCCAGCGCCTTCTTGAGGTTGAGCAGAAGAATAAGGTATGCTATATGGTGGACCATTGTTTACAGCAGAAGTAGGTGAAGATTGCATTTCAAATTGAGGATTAGAAGCGGACACCCAACCCGGGCCACTTTCAGCCTCAATCCTTTTTTTCCTAAGTTCTTCAGCAATATCAGAAATTTTAATCCACAGGAGACCAATAGGTTGTGGATGTTCATGAGGTTTATCATATAAAGTAATTTCAATTTCACTAGCTTTTTCTACATGAATTTCAAAATCTTCGTTCCAACGATCGTTACGCGAAGCCTTTGTTTTGCCTTTTGTCGCACCATCAATTTTAATGACGACTGTGGTTTCTGGAGATTTTAATGTGCGAGTAGGTGCATGTGCTAGATACTGTGCACTACGTACACGAATATTCAGTTTTCCTGTCACAGGACGGCGCTGTCGTGGTACAATTTCATCATCTGTAAGAATTTAATAAAATACGTAAAATTTATGTAAAGATGTTATGGCTTCATGGATATATAAATATGCTAGTTTTTTTCTATTAAATTCATATCTATCAAACCATTCCCAGATAATATTATCGTTCACAATACAATAAAAAACCTGTTACATAAATAAATCAGCTGCAAACAAAATTCTTAACACTTTTATTCATATAATACTTACATTTATCAGAATAGTATTGTGTAATATTTAAAGGAAATGTAGCTATGCAAGAAAAATAACTCACCTTCTTCTTCATCTACAATGTACAGTGATTTATATTTCTGTAACGACCTTGTTAATAAAGAGATCTTCTCTTTACTCTCCAATGTTTGGACCTGAACTTCTGCAATGCCTTTTTTATTCTTTGGATCTTGTAAACTAACGGCTTCACACATTTTCTCTGAACCTTCCTTAAGTCTTCGTTCAACATCGAGTTTGAATTCGAGTTCGTGAAGTTTCAGAGTTACTTTCTGACGAGCAAAAGGAGCGTCCGATTTAATAAGGTCTGTTTATTATATAAAGATCCGGCGAACACAGATCAGTCGAATGGAGCACAAATTTTGGAGTGCAAAAAATTCAATTAATGGCGAAAAGTAAAGAATTCGCCACAAAATCCCACCCAAATTAGACAATCCACCCCTTCGTGTGGCCGGTATCGATGAACCATAAGACTGTGGTGGTGCATTGGGATAATTAGGTAGTTGGTTTGGTTGTGGATAAGAATAAGAATGATGTGGCGATATTGGTGAGTAATTTCCACCAGGCGATATCTGTTGAGCTTGGTGCTGGCCAGGCTGTGTAGGGTACTGTAAACTATTACGTTGCCTTATTTGCAGTCTTTCTAACTCTTTTTGTAAATAATCAATATTCCTTGCGGCGTCAACAATATTTTGTTCGCATTGCGCTTGAACCTGAGGATTGGTTGTTTGAGATTTAACCCTCTCGGCAGCTTGCCGCATTTGCGCTTCCTTTTTGATTTTTTCATTAATTGCCCTTAGTTTGGCGTCAATGTCCTATCGGGGCTATTGTCAGTTCCAAGCTGCTCATCTTTAAAGAAAGAAACACGCACACAAGAAATAATAGAAGGTTTTACACCTACCCCCATGGTTCGTTTCAATTAAAAAAAAGAAAATTTTTGGTTAAGCGAGAACTTAAAACTGTGTATATACGTACGTACGCAGTTTACTCAAGAATATGTGATCTTCTGTGTACATACTATGTATTAACAGTTGACATATCCGATAAAAACGTTAATTGATAATACTAAGTGTGACTAGCCATTTCATAGTTCACGTGTGGACAAAAAAGCTCCTGTTTGTTACGTAAAATCTATATGTCCAACAAATCAGTTCCGCATATAGAATTTACAAGTTTTTCATTGTCATTGTATGTATATACAATATATCAGCTTCGTAGTATATCATCGCGTTATGATATATTTAAGATACGATTAATATAATATATATAATTGTTACAGTTTTCCCTCAAAGTCTAATCTTATTGAAATATACGTGTGTATTTAGTGATGGAACTTAACGTTAAGTGAACTTGGAATTTCTTAATATTAGAACTTTGGGTATATAAACCTAAACCTAGCATCAAAATCTTACAACATATGAATGCAGTGCGAATAATTTTTTTTCTTCCAAGCAAAAATATACATATGTACGTATCCACTGATTCTAATGATAAATAACAAGTAACTAAGCCAAATACAGTCAGACCTTCATAAATACACCCCCTCGAAACCATAAAAAAAATTTGAAAGGTACACTTAGAAGAGTATGCATTTATAGAGAGAGAAATTTCACAGTATAATATTATATTAACTTTAAAAGGAATTTATGTAAAGCATATATAAAGGTCTAATTGTATTATTTAAATTATGGAAGTTTGTATATATTTAAGAATTACGTTATTATACAAATAAAGTATCTTTTAAACATAATAAGCATATTTAAAAAAGCTATTTTTTATTTTTTTTTGGATGTTAAGGTGAGACCTTGCTTATCCGTATCTTTATAAGTAATTTCAAAGTATATCGATATATCGATATAGAGTTGTTATATATAAGCAGATCATGTCAAAATCCCGACAAGTTAGCCCGCATTAGTGTTAGTTCCGGTCAATTTTTGTCGGGAAAGTGTTGTCGGGAAAATAAAAATTATATAAGAGCTTAAACTAATTTAAAATAGTTAAGATTTATCTAGGTTTATATAGCTAAAATATACTGTGTACAGTCGATACTGTCTATCCGTTAGAGACTTTTTTTATATACTGTATAGACAATATATGTATTTAAAAACTATTTTGGTGTTGATAATTAAAAACTAAAATTGTTTTGTGTATTTAGAAAGTACAGTATATGCAATTAGACAATATACAATTAGACAATATTGACTGTACTGTATATGTACATATTTGTTTAATAAGTATATAGTTCAAACTTAGTAAAATAGCAGTTACAAGACATATTTTTAAATCAAATAAGTTAATAGATTAATTTTATATAAATTTTAATAAAAAATTCATTAAAATTTAATTTATTTAAAAAAATATATACAAAACTTTCTTGAAATTTTAAATATATATTCTTTACTATTTTATAATCTTTTGTTTAAAAGCTTTGTTTTTAAAAAATAAAATATATTAACTTTTTCTGATAGTTATTTGTATTAACTGTTATCCAACCACAAGTTGAAGACTCAAAACTTATGTTTGTTGTTTTTTGTTTACAAACTATTATCAATAAAGTTTTAAAATGTGATATATTGAGGAGTGGGTGTTTTGAATGGTTGGTATAGAGGTTAAGCCTTTTTTTGCAAGTAAACTCTTTTATACATTTGATATCCAAACTAGAGAAGTCTCTAGAAACAGCAAATATATAAAAAACACAAATAAAGAGAATAAAAAAACAAAATGAATAACAAAAAAAAAATATTTACTAGTTGATAATTCACAAAATTTAACAATATTTCTTGTTATTATCTTTTACAAAATTTTTGATAAAAAGTGAGAGATTTGTTTATTTTCATTAAAAAATTAGCAATATTTATTATATCAGTCACACGATTTTTCACGCAAATCACAAGGTAAATTTTTTAATATAAAATTTGAGTGATCGACACTTATATAAAAAAATCGATTTTCATAGTAAATTGCAATGGTAGACCCTTTTCAATACAATTTTTCAAGAGTTTCCAAAAAGGAAATGCATTTAGGTTCAAGTTTAACAAATCACAAAAGTAAGTATCTTTTTGTAATCGAACTTAAGACAAGGCATAAAGCAAACTCAAAAAACATTATACTTACAAAGTTGGCTTATTGTTTCAATTTTGTATATACTTATAACAAGAAATCCAACTCATCAAAATTTTTTTTAATTTAAAAAATAATAGTTAATGAATCTTAGCAAGTATAAAGCCTATTTCTCATGAAACATAAACCCAACATTTCTAAATCCTTTAACCATTAACTCCTAATTAATGTAAGTACTTTTTAAAAGCTTTAGTCCACTCACAATATAAGCTAAACTTTATTAAATTTTGCCAGTTCAATTTTAACAGATCCAATCTTTGCTGGTATTTGCCTAGGTTATAGACCCAAAATTAGATGTGAAGTTCCTCAATTACCTTTGGATCTGATGAATAAAGGCTTAGATGCAGAACCAAGATGTTGGTGAAATAAAATATAGAGTGTTGAAATTGGTGAAACTAATTTCACCAGCGTCTTTATGCAGAACCTCAAAACAGACCAACTGTTAAATATTTTAGAAAAGGTTGTAATGATTTATATCTTTAACAATAGGCAAGTTGATATTTTTCAATGATTATTGTTTTACTAATTAAAAATAAAAAAGAGACCTGTATAGTAGAGTAGAAGGCACGATAAAATTTTTGGGCATGCCTCAGGAGGCATGCCTCAGGCCGAGACATGCCCTTAATATATAAATCATATAATAAAATTGTTCATGCAATATAATAGCTTTCGTTATAGCATTGAATATATGCTTCGTTAATGATTTTAGGATTTAATTTCTATAATATTAAATTTATACAGAATATATTAGTTATTAAAAATAATAGATTAAGCTAAATAATACTATAATAAAGATCTTTAAACTTATATTGAACATTCTAATTATCTTTAAGTTTATAAGATTTATATTGTTAATAATCATTTGATTTTTAAGTAAAGTGCTGAAATAGATTATATTAGCCAATCATATGTGTGGGACTTTCCTGTGATCACATGATATGGGCATGCCTTCTGGTTCAAAGGCATGCCCCCAGGCATGCTCCCTAGACATGCCTCATAGGCATGCCCTGAGACCCTGTGCCTCCCACCCTACTGTATAGAGGCTTTTCACCCACCCAGTACAGTAATTATCAAGTGATTAGAAATTTTCCTGATAAATAATGATTATAAATGAATCATATAAGTCACATTTTTGTGTCTAATAACAATGATGCCTAACAGCCACGCTTTATTTAACATTAGGTAAATGGCTTGCTAATTATAGATCTGCTTTTTAACTTTATAGATTTTACCTGCATTTGACTTTTGCTTTCGCTTTTCATTAGGAGACCAAGATTTTATCTTTTGTTATTCGCCGGTTTTAGTCACCACCACATAAAAAGATTTTGCCAAACAACTATAGGTATGAATGATTTGAATGAATTATTTCTAGGTTTACTTATTAATAGTGAATACTAAAGGTGAGAAATTCATTCATTGTCAAAATTGTAGGATGTAAGAAGGTATTTAGTAAAGTAGTACTATATAGCAGTACAAATTTGAACGGACATACGAAAATTATATCAAATTTTAATTGTATATACAGTTAATATAGACTTGCAAGTTTCAATTTTTATAAATAGCCCTTTTTGATAGTTAGGGTTAGAGTGAGCGCTAGTATTATTCTTTTTTTATGTTAGGATTATAGGAAAAGTAATTTAGGGTTTACGACTTTTTTCTTTTACAAACTGTATATACTATCATAATTTCTACATGTCCATCTTAATTTACGTTTCTGTATCGTACTACTTTACTATATATCTGATATAAGATTCTGGCTTGTGAAAAGAAAGACGGATGTGCTTCAGAAGATGATATTTTCAGAGTTATGACTTATATTGCTCCTGAAGTTTTATCAGGAAACAGCAGTTTATACAAGCAGCAAATATTTATAGGTTTAGTATTATGATGGCAGAAATGTCAACTGGACAAAGGTCTTTTGATGAATATAAATTTCAGTTATTTGGTTTATGAAAAACTAAGATTACTGAATTTTTATTTTAGGCTTGCGATTGTTATAAGTATAGAATTGACGTTAAGAACTGATTTATTATCAATTTGTAAATATTTGGACTTATTGTTACATAATAGGCGTTAAAAATGAAAAGTCATTATTTCAATTTTATATCTGCATACTAATTTCAGGCAGCATGGTGGGCTTTTTTTTTTTAAAAAAAAATTTTTTAAATATTCAAAAATTTATATAAGGATCAATTGATAATTTGCAATGTTTGTGTTTACAACTAGTTTGTTTAATTAATAATAACTTAATTGTCTCAATTGTTAAAATCGAAGTAAAAAAATTAATAAATTTTATATAAAAAAACTCTTAAATATTTAAACAAAAATAATTATAAGGGCAAGAATAATTAAAATTATTAAAATCATGATAAATAAAATTATCATCAAAAGCTTGAATATAAATTCAAACCAGTCTTGAAGTATAAATAGTAATCTAAATATTAGAACCTTCAATTAAGAGATGCTACAAGAATAATAAAGTTTTTTTTTTGAAAAAAATAAATAAATAATGGGCATTAGTTTATGGCGACAGGTCGCCATGGCGACCCTATATGCTTGGCCAATCAAAATTAAGCACGTGACTAGCCTATAGGTTGCTTACTATTGGCCAACTAAAATTTTCTAAAAATTTTCTAAATTTTATAATAAAAAATAAAAAATAAAATTTACTAACCTTAAATTTGATTGGCTGCTATATATAGGGTTGCCATGGCGACGGGTCTCTATAAAAAATTTAACATAAATAATAAATTACTAGATACAAAAGACGAGCCAAAAGCAGAAAAT